AAGCTATAATATATATTAGACATTGTCTTTTTTTATTTGATACTGACAAAAAATATTATTTCAAATTAAATATGTTATTATAAAATTTTAATGGTTTGGAAAACATATATTTTATTTATTGAACCCAACAATATATTTCTGTGATAATTATTTTTTTTTAAAGGTTTTTCACTAAATTTATAACAAATTAGTGCAATTAAAACTTCTGTGAATTGAGAAAAACTCTTTTCATTTTTATTATTCCTTCCATACTATAATCATGATGACAAAAACAGAATTCACTTCACCAATGAGTCAATGTGAAAGATAAAAATCACAGCAAAACAATCGAAGAAAAAACAAGAATACAATCAAGCAAAAAATTTTTTTTTTTACGATTCAAAGTTCTAACGAAATAGACATAGAGAGCATTCCAACATTTTTGTTGAGATGATGCAGATCAATAAATTTTTTTATGAACGTGTTTGATGCAAGGAAAAAAAAAACAAACATATTTTTTAAGTTTACGTTACATTTGTATTATCTCACATAATATATATCTCCTACAAGTTTATGCCAATTTATATACAAATTTTTTATTAATGAACGATATTTTTACATATAACATTGTATCAATAATAATTTTTTACAAATGTTTAGTCTTCGAACCTAACTAATTATATACTATAAACACCAAATGACTTTAATATTAAATTCACAAATAATTAATAAGCTATAAAGTATTGCATATTTTATCATGTTAATTTTTAAATCCATGCAACGCGTGAATAATCCCTATTAATATATATGAAAGAGTCTCTACTCAATGGAGGTGCTCTTAAAAAAAATCTTGAATGAGAGAGGTGTTATTCAAACAATATGATGCTATTGAGTCGATCAATTTTAACTTTTAACAATTTGATTTTCCCATCTGAAGATATTATTCAAGCAATATGATATTTTCCCATGAGCCCCACTTAGATGCTATTACTTAGTAGTATATACAAGAGACAGAAAATTTCACCTTCTAAATGGCAAAACAGTTTTTGTGCCATTCATGACTAGCCGCAACGACCAATACGTAAGAGCTTATGACGGTTTCAAGGTCCTTAGGCTCCCTTACCGACGAGGCCGTGATGATACTAAGCGCAAGTTCTCAACGTATTTCTATCTACCCGACAAGTAAGATGGATTGGATATTCTTGTGGAGAGAATGTCATCTACTCCTGGATTATTGGATAGTCACATTCCGAGTTATAAAGATGAGGTTGAGGAATTTAGAATTCCAAAGTTTAAGATCAAATTCGGATTTTTCTCTAACAAGTGTTTTGGATCAATTGGGACTGGGGTCGATTTCATTGTATCATAAAGCTTGTGTCGAAATCGATGAAAAAGCTGCTGCTGCAACTGCTGATGCATTGTGTGGTTGTTCTCTTGATTGGGAGCCTCCAAAGAAGATAGATTTTGTTGCTGATCATCAATTTCTTTTCTTGATTAGAGAAGAGAAAATCGAAACCGTTTTGTTTGTTGGTCAGATGTTTGATCTTTTATAGTCTTCTTAGGGTAGGTAGTATTCAAGATGAGATCAGGTTTACACGGGGTTCTGGTTTGGTGAAATGAAACAAAAGTCAAATTAGGTTGGGTGAATGGTTTTGGGTTTTTAGTTCAAGGTTGAAATTAGCCAAAAACAGTTATTAGATGAAACCGAGATTGTTCAAATTGGTTATAGGTAGACTCTAATTGATCTGAAGATTTATCTTTTCCCATTGGGCTTTTTTCTTCTGATT